AATTTTTGATAATTTTCTTTAAAAGGTCATCAATAGTACTATGAGGTATATTTCCTATCGTTCGTATTTCAAATACAATAAAAAGTTTGCAACATATCACATATTAATATATATGTCCACTTAAAAATAAAAATATAATGTACATTAATGTATTAATATAGGTATTGAACTATATTTTTTAAGACTTACATCTTTCTCTTGAATCGTACATTCTTTGCAGTAGTAGGCATCAGAGACACCAGGTCCACCACAAATAACACATCGGCCCTGATAAGATCCATAATTGCATTCATCACAAATTCTCACCAAAGTACATGGTCTTACATAAGAATCACAAATCACACATTTACCATCACACTTTTCACATAACCTTCCTATTGCTGAAAATTAAAAATTTCATTTTGCTCCATAAATATAAAAATATATTTTTCTAAATATAAATATATAATCTCATTAGCACAAAAATTATACTGTTTAATAATAACCAATTTATATTTATTTATATATCATGTACAAGGGTATTATAAATTTGTTTCAGATAAATTTATGAATAAATTGATTATAAAATATAACAAAATATAAACTTCACAAACAACAAAATATTGCTTCATTTCTATAACATTTTTGTTAAAATAGAAATTGCGCACATTTGTTTATATATAAGAATTTGGACATATATGAATTAAGATATTTTATTACTCATTTTTTTCATAGATAACAACAAAGGAAAAAATGATAGATGTAATTATTTATTAAGGAGATTTACTATTTGTTTATGTTTTAAGATCATTATACACACCATTAATAACAATGCTTTGATTAAATATAAAATTCATAATTATTAAATATCTATAAAAATAAACAATGGATACATAATTCTTTCTTTCACTAAACAATTTCACAAAGGAAACAGTTTTCTTTTAACTATTAATAAATTAAAAATAACGCATAATATATAATTCTAACCTAAAATTTAAAACTGCAATCTAACCTAATATAAATATTAATCTTACCAACTCCCGGTTGTTTCCTACAAAAAATTAAATCTGGATGATGTTTGGCCATATTACAAAATAAATAAAATACTTCAAATTGTATGAAATACAAATTATTGTATAAATTTTTACGTTATACACATTACAATACAACACATTTGAAAAGCTTCAAGTTTGTTTACGTTTCATGGTTCCTTTTAAATCAATGATAGTTTAGTTAATTGATTATATATACGAATAACTTTTCTTGAATGATATTCAGAATATATAGAGTTTAAATAAAAAAACATATTTTTTGTTCTATATTCTTACTTTATTTAGTTATACTTAATTTGATACTTTATTATATTAGAACTATATAATTTTAATAGCTAGAATGATAAAGACAAATTTCTCATGTCCATTTCATAATTTGCTAATATTTATTCAAAAACTATTTGAAATTTAAATTAAGTAATGTATAAAATTTCATATAATATTAGAAAAATAATTTTGTGCCATAAATATTCTTTTTTTATTTTTAATTTATATTTTTAATTGATTTAACATGTTATTATACACACCATTAATAACAATGCTTTGATTAAATATAAAATTCATAATTATTAAATATCTATAAAAATAAACAATGGATACATAATTCTTTCTTTCACTAAACAATTTCACAAAGGAAACAGTTTTCTTTTAACTATTAATAAATTAAAAATAACGCATAATATATAATTCTAACCTAAAATTTAAAACTGCAATCTAACCTAATATAAATATTAATCTTACCAACTCCCGGTTGTTTCCTACAAAAAATTAAATCTGGATGATGTTTGGCCATATTACAAAATAAATAAAATACTTCAAATTGTATGAAATACAAATTATTGTATAAATTTTTACGTTATACACATTACAATACAACACATTTGAAAAGCTTCAAGTTTGTTTACGTTTCATGGTTCCTTTTAAATCAATGATAGTTTAGTTAATTGATTATATATACGAATAACTTTTCTTGAATGATATTCAGAATATATAGAGTTTAAATAAAAAAACATATTTTTTGTTCTATATTCTTACTTTATTTAGTTATACTTAATTTGATACTTTATTATATTAGAACTATATAATTTTAATAGCTAGAATGATAAAGACAAATTTCTCATGTCCATTTCATAATTTGCTAATATTTATTCAAAAACTATTTGAAATTTAAATTAAGTAATGTATAAAATTTCATATAATATTAGAAAAATAATTTTGTGCCATAAATATTCTTTTTTTATTTTTAATTTATATTTTTAATTGATTTAACATGTGTAAAATTATATAAGTTAATAGATTTTTCTTTAAATTTATCTAGATACTAATTTTTTCTATATATAATATACTATATATACTATATACTATATTAATATACTTACTACTTAATGCATGTAGTAAATAGGATGTATATTACATGACTTTTTAATCGTGAAAATAAACGAATAAGTAAAACTGTAACTAATAAAATTCAATTCTACATTTCACATAAATTTGAAACCATCATATTTATAATTTTACATACATAAAAATAATTTAAAATACTATACATTTCTTATAAATTCTTTAAATATACTATTAACGAAAAAATAACTTATATTCTCAACAGGTTACATATCTTTCTTTGATTTAAATTTTCAAATCTTTGAAAAAATTTATGGCATTCTAGATGTCATTTGCGAATACTTCAACTATTGTAAACATCACGGATTTGCTATAACTAGTAACATATAAGATAATAACAATGTCCGAACAATCAATTTATGATATGGCTTATCGTGGCAAAACCAAAGATATTAAGAATTTACTGAGTGAAAACGATCGATTAAAATTTGCTAAAGATAGTGTAAGCATATAATAATTTATTTCAAATATTTTTTGAGGTTATGTTATATATCAAATTTATTTCTCAGAACCAACGAATGTTAATACATTGGGCAGCACTTGGAGGACACGATGATCTAGTGAGATATTTATTGTCCATCGATGTACCAGTAGATCCTACTGATGATGTAAGTCAGTCATTAATAAACAATGTGACCTATTTTAATTTCATAGTAAATTGTAAAATATGCTTTTTCATTTATAACTTGTATTCAGTCTTACCAACATTTATTTTAACTACTTATTATTTTTAATTAACAAAATTACAAAGCGATTTCCTATTAGATTGTTTAGATGATTCAAAAAGTTACTACATGAAAAAATTGTTAAATTATTTAAATCTAATATCATAACAAAGTTTGTACAAATTAAAATATTATTTTGAATATACATTGAATAAATTATTTCGTAATACGTAATTTTTACTTATATAAAGTAAAATCACTATCGTTCTATAAATAATTTTTATTATATATTATATAGAAAGTATTTAAAAATGACCGGAAGAAAAATATTTTTTGATACGAAGAAAAATTTATATAATGTAATCTTTATCTATGCTCTCACATAGAAATTTTAATTTCGTATTTGTAGCTTTTTTCTGTTTTTTAAGAAGGGACTTTACGAAATTAGTTCCAAGCATTGTAATTTGTAATTCATGATACACGTTATTACATATTTTCACTTGTAAAAATAATATTGATATTATCATAATTTTTTCACAGAGAAAATAAATACCTTTTTGGGTTGTTGAATTCATTTATGAAATTCAAAGTTTGTTCATTGTACGTAATCTTTTCTTTTAAATCAGATTTGCTTAGCATGTCATTCATACTGAATAGTATATCATAAAATAAATTATCACATATTAGTAGTAAATAATTTTTTTATATTATTTTTTCTACAATTATTGTGAAGAAAAAAGTTTTATATATGATTTGGATTTAGATTGCTTTTACTTCAACTAATTATAGAAACATAACATTTCAACGAATTATTAAATACATTTTTAATAATTAATCATTACATTTTTGCAAATAAATTATTTATGGAAATCGTTCAGACAGTAAAGCCTGGTCATTAATAGCAAGCTTAACAAAAACTTATTTATAACATTTTAGGTAGAGTAAAAATGTTGTTTACAAAACAATGTAATTTATTCAAAATGTATATTACATTTTTAAAAAAACAATTTTAAAAAATATATCGCATCATGTTCGAAGTTACATGCGATTATTTAATGTAGAAACTAAAGTAATATTTCATAAAATATTTTAAAAAATCTAATCAAATTCATGTTGTTTGTGATAAATTTTTTATTTGAAACCTGTTATAACTTTGTAAGTTATATGTGAATATATTAAATAGCATAACATTACTATTGTAATATACTATTGTATGTGTTTCTTCATATTTTTTATATTAATATTAACATTATCTCGAATTATATGATGTATTCTTAAATTAATGAAATATTTTAATTTTGTTATTTAGATGAATATGACACCTTTAATTTTAGCAGCATCAGCTGGTCGTGAAAAAGTAATTAATACTTTACTAGCTGAAGGTGCAGATGTTAATGCCAAAACACAAACGGGTCATTCATCATTACAATATGCGGCATCAAAGAATTGGAGAACTATTTGTGTTGCATTACTAGCAAAAGGTGCTAATGTTAATGCGACAGACAATCGTGGTGCTACACCACTACATAGAGCCACATCGAAAGGCAATATTGCTATTGTAAAACTTCTCATAGAATTTTACGGACAATATTTAGATATTGGTAAATATTTTATTAATCTTAATTCTTTATTTAGTCAAAAAATATGCCGTTATTTTTTAACAACGTTGAGAAATATTGTTTTGTTTTCGTGTAAATAATAATTTAAATGTAATATTTTAAACTGTTCTAATTTTTAACTAAATTGAATTGAATTTGTTTCTCAAATCATAGAATAAGAATTTACATTAATTATGAACATCAATTTCATAATAGATACTGTATATAAAAACTTTAATTAAATTACTTTCAGACAAAAAAGATGCTGACGGTAATAGTGCGTTACATTTGGCATGCGAGGAAAACCGTGTTGATGAAGCTAAATTATTAGTACAAAATGGTGCTAGAGTAACACTGATGAATAAAGAAAAGAAAACTCCTTTGGATCTAGCTAACCCAGGTCTGGCACTGCAACTGAAAAAAATACATGAAAATTGATCATAAACAGTAAAATAAAACATTGATGTCATTGGCTCAGTGGTGTTCAATCTTTATTTTTTTAACATTAATATAAATTTAATTTTTGGTAACAAAAAATGTTTTACTGTTAATTTATTAAATTCATACATATCATTTTTTATTTTATCAATAATTGTATTCTATTAAAGATAAATGTTTGAAATATATAGGATGTCTCAGCATCAGTGATACAGCCGAGGGAGGGATGATTTTATATGAAAATACAAATCGAAAATAAAGAATAAAATTTTTTCATTCCCAGCTTTGTAGTCGAGAAAATCAATTTTGAATATTCACCGAATGCGCTAATATACTGATGGACCATCCATCTAAGCCTTAGTTAAGTGCACAGATTTTCTCGACAACAAAGCTTCAAATAAAAATTTTTTTTTTTTTTTTTTTTTTTTTTTTTTTTTTTTTTTTTTTCCATGTAGAATCACCCCCTCTTCGGTTCTATCATAGATGCTGATGTACTGATAATTTATCCATTTAAGTTGTAGTTAAGAGCACGCGTACTCGGTGAATATTCAAAATCGATTTTCTCAACTATTAAATTTCAAATAAAAAAATTTTATTCTTTATTTTTTTCATGTAGAATCACCCCTTCCTCGGTTGTACCATCAATGCGGGGATACCCTGGGGCATCCTATGTATATATATATGTATATATAGGGTGTATGTGAATAACCCTTTACATTTCTCTTCTTTTAAACAGCAGGTACATGAAAAAATAGAAAAGCAGAAACATTTTATACTCTTTATAGACAATATTTTATACTTTATAGATGGATATTTTATACATTAATTTTCTATATTTGGTATATATATATAAAACAAATGAAGACACCATGAACTTTTTTTAAATTAAGAGATACAGCATTCTCTATACTACATAACATTAACTGTTAAAACAAATTGAACAATATATGGGACAATGGAAAAATATTCAAAGTATAACATATAGGTAGAAACATAAATTATTTTAAAGATTACACAATATTATATTAATTAGATTTCATATTAAGTAAAAATTGAATATAACATAGTTTAATTTAAAATATCTGAATCATTTATATTATTTAACCAGCGTGAATAAAAGAAAATTTAAAAACTGAGAGTTAATTTTAGGGCCATGGTAGATATTTTGTAAATTAATATGTTTTAACTCATTTATATCCAAATATATTATTTGAAAATCTTTTCACTTGATTACATGGAAGTTTTCATCTTATTAAAAATACAGATACTAAACAAGAACATTTCATAATAGTACTGATATTAAGTAATACATTAATTTCTTATGGTTCTTGTATTGCACAGAATCAAAACCTATATAATAAAAATGTTATCATAATTATGCAAAAAGCTCCAGGAACAAAAATTTATTGTTCATAAAAAAAAACTGTGAAACTTTCTTCTTCCATTTTTTCACATATCTGTTATTCGAAAAGAAAATATTGAACATAAATATGAATATCCTATATAGTTAAATACTCAATAATATATTGAGTTCCACATTGTCAATCAATTTTTTAAAAATTTTATTCAATTATTTTAAATACTGAAAAGTATTAGTAAAAATTAAAAAGATAAAAGAATTATATAACAATCACTAATTAAACAATTGATTGAAAATCACTGACCATAACAATTTTCTTTTTAGTTTCAGTTTTTAGCATTTATTATGCTTTCTTTTTAACATACTTAAGTGTCGTTAATATTTGATTTATATCTATGTAAAATGTATCAAAAAGGTTTATATTTTACTGGTCAAATCCTATTCACTTATCGCTCTTTCTATTATTTACCCGTTCAGTTGATTTATATTTTTCATACTTATCTGTTCCAATCCCATTGTAATTCATACTCTTAAATAGAGATGAGACTTCAAATTCCAAAGTAATTGCTTAGATAAAACGCACCACAGTTGAGAGTTAATAGTTTTTGCGCTTATTTACACAAATTCACAGCGATTCGCAGATAACATTAGATGGTATAGATTTTTTCCTCCTTCAGAGAAATTTTGGATGATTTATAAAAAATATATTATTAAATCTTTAACTTTTAATTCGCGTTTACAAATATTTCTGTTATTTATCTTCCAAAAACAATTTGTTACAAACAAAATTTCAATTTAGAAAATACATAGATGTTATAACTTCTCTTTATTATCTTTATACTAAATTTATATTCAAATTAAAAATAAATACTAAATTTTTAAAGTTTTAAACATTTTGCTCAAATTTCTTTAAGAACAAAGTATGGAAAAATCAGAATGTTTTCAACATATATAATTAGATTAAAATTAAAAAATTTTGCTCTTATTAAATATCATAAATTGATTTAAACAATGGAAAAGAGAAATGAAGGAAAAGTTGAGAATTTTTCATTATGACTGTATTGAAGATATTTTTATATAATAGTTATAAAAAGTGTAAAAGAAATTTAAATGATATTTCTTATTATTCATTTATTATTTATAATAAAAATAATAATTATTATTAGTATGGTATGATTCTGCAAAGTTAAAGAAGTATATTTTTTACAATCATCCAAATTTTCATCAAAAAGAAATATGTTTGATGAAAAGGTTGTCGACATTTCAGCATTTGATGTTGAAGCTTCATATATCTCATATAAAATCTTAAGGCTTAGAGCTTTCACCTATGTTTTTAAACCCAAAAGGGGTACAAATACATGTATTCTCTTATGTTTCACTTAAATTTCAGTTTTCTAACGCATCGCTGACATTTATATTTTTTATTCAATAGACATAATTCATCATAATCTCTTTTTATGTATGAAATTATAATTTATTTCTTACTAAGTAAATCCGTCGAAAATGTATATAAAGTTTATTAAATTTATTCAAAAGATTTTTAAATTTAATTATAATTGTTACGTGGAGACAATAATGGTCCACGATGATGTGATGTGGCAGTTCAATTGTGAATTTGAATAGCCCGCATAAAAAGTTACTAGAAAGCTGTTTAATCTATTTAAAAAAAAAAAAAAAAAAAAAAA